ACAAAGGCAAGGATGCACACTCTTCTGAAAATCTGGTGTCAGTACAGTGGAGTAGAGCTGCAAAAAATAACTTGAATGCGACTGGGTAGTGGGTCCGGAGTCATCTTTTGAGCTTCCACTCCTAATTGGAGAGGCAGGATGAGAGAGTGGAAAACAGTACACCAGCTGTCAGACTCCCAACAAATTTGTCTCAGTAAATCAATTATATGATTTCTTAACAAGACTGTAATAAAAGCTTGCCATGGAGACACTACTTGTGCTGTGCAAGTATACACTTCTAGGGTTAAGGTGGTAACAAGATCTTTTAATAAACAATCTTCTCCAAACTTCTTGTTCTTACAGAATCTGTCACTCTTCCACTTCCTTTTATTCTAAATAGTGGCAAAGTAAAGGAGAACTTTGTTCACAGCAAGCCATTACAGGCATTATTGTGAAGGTTGTTGGACCCATTTCCTTCTGAAGAAGGCTTCGTTTGAGAGAGGAATCGCACTCTGAAATATAATGGTGCGAAGTGACAAAGATGGACATAGTTATCTGTAAGGGTTTGCACAGGATGGTATGAGGAAACACTGGCAGCAACAGGTCTGCCTGTGAATAAGTCTTTAGGAAATGTGGAAATGAACTAAACTTCTTTTTTATTATTATTTTAATGTTTTTTTGTGACAGAATCCATTTGAACATGCTTTGTCCTGTTACTCTTCCTCCTCCTTCCAAGATGGAAGGAGGCTTCAAGAAAGCTGCATAATTGCAGTTCTATTCAGTTCTCTTAACAGTTTCATTTAAAAAAAAAATAAATACACATGACTTGAGGTTGAGGCTTTGTTTTGGGCATTTTCCCCTTCTTTCCGTCTAGCACCGTTGTCTATCTTTTCATTCTTTCACATTTGAATTTGCTGCTTTTTTTCAAAAGGAAGTTACAGTAGCGGAATTGAAGACATCTGGGGGAAAACACAGCTCCTCATGCCAGGCTGCTTCTCAGGCCTTTTGATAAGAACTTTATAATATTTTTTTATATCTTTCAGTTGCCTATACCACCTTTTTCTTACCCCATGAGTATGTAATTCTAACATGGACCTTTATGACTAATAGATCAGTTATTGTCAGCTGCTTGAAAAAGTGCTAAAGGTTTCTCTAGACTGAATTTGACATGTTTATTTCATGAAACTGGGTATGTATCAGAAGTTTAGTGTGTGAAATCTATTTTTGAATTTTACTGTTTTACATCACTGTGTGTCTACATGATGCTGTATTAAATGGCAAGCAACAATCTTTTTCTGGGAAAGACTTGACATTAGAAAACCATTCGTGTTTACACTACCATATGAAATGACATGATGATATTTACGTAGAACTGTCTTGCAGTGTTTACATCTAACATGCACTTATTAAAAGATGGCCAACATTTTAAAGGTGGCCCCCCCCTTTTTTTTCCCCCATTATAAGACCCTACTCTGCCTTGCTTATAGCTTTGCTGGACTCTAATGATTTGTATTGAGTCACCAAGTATGTGTGTCTGACTGAATTGTTTTGTAACACTTCACCCAAGAAGGCTCAGTTGCTTATAAGAATGTGACTAAGAAAAATGTTTTCCCATATGAAAATATTGGTATTGTAGACTTCTTTTGTTGGAGCGAGGGGCTATTTTTCTGTAAATATTCCATCTCTAGGGCAAACATGAGATTTTAGTAAGAGAGATTATGTTTCAGAAATGTGTCTGCTCATATCCTGGAAGGAATTCATCCAATTTTGGAGGTCTGATGCTGGAACACTCTCAGCGAATTCTTGAGGACTGAGAATAAATGAAAGGACTGAGAGATGGATTTGATACAGAGTCTATGAGAGAGTTGCGACTAACTGGGAATAGGAACTAGGAGTGAATAATGCTCCAAGCGTTGGAGGTCTTTGCTTTCTATTCAACCCATGGAATACAGTTGGGGAAAGTAGGCTGGAGGGGGCACGGCTGCAGACAAAGGAAGAATTGTCCCGTGGGTGAGGGAGCAGGATGCTGCTCTGGAGAAAGGAGGTTTCTCCCTGCCTTTGCCCCAGGATTCCTCTGTTGTAAGGGAGATCACCTGGAACGGAGTGGTCACTGTGCATGTGCTCCTTATTTACTGGGTGTCCTGCTTGATACCGACACGGCCAAACTGCAGAATTCCTAAGTTCTCTGCTAAACCAATTTGAGATCCAAGGTATGCAAACTTAGGAGGTGCTTGCTTCAGATTCTTGTCTGTGAAAGTGGAGTGTTAGTACTCCCATACCTCATTAGGGTGCTGCAGAAATAAATTTGTTTCTTGACATGAGATGAAAGTAGAGGAAAAGGAAACTTAAGCATTTTAAGTTCAGAAGGATAAATAAAGGATGGGGTCAAACACTGCAAAGAAAACTAAATATTGAATAACTGCTCACTAATTGAGTAGCATCAAACTGTGCACTGAATAAATGAGGAATACAAGGGGGAAGCTAGTATTTTAATGTTTATTTAACTGATTATTTTATACAGATGTACAGGAAGGCTGAATTGAGTTTGGAGAAGTAATCATTCTGACACCTCCTCGTTTTTTGAGAGCATAATTTTGCAGTCTTAATGTTGAAGAGTTTTTTGGGTGACTTGAATATACACAGACTTTCTAAATGTCATTGTCTTTAAATAAGTAGCTAAATAACAATAGTCCTGTTCTTTGAGATGGATACGTGGGGAGAACAGCACTTGTATCAAACTTTGAGCACGTGTCTTGCTGAATTAGGTTCTGGGGGAATGCAGAAGAAGGATTGAGACATGCAGCCACACTTTTCCTCCTCTAAGCGCTTTATACAGCGTGCCAAGTTCTGCAGTGGCTTTTGTGTAGTGTATCCCGAAAGGATTTGTAGTAGGTTCCCTAAAAGCCACTTGTATGGAACTGCTTTTTATAAGTGTTTGAGCATTGTGCAGTGGAACACACCAGCTAATGCCCGTGTGAAAGGTGTCTAAGAGAAATTGGCCTGTTATGCTGAATCATGACTAAGCTGCGCAGAAATCAGGTGTACAAATCTCCTGTGACCCAGGGCTTGCGTGACTAATGATACCAATGGTAAATCACTCTGTTACGGACCCAAGTGTTTCAGGAAAATGTCTTCATAAAGAGAAATCTGAAGTGGGAGTATATGAGGAAGGGATCGTTTACTTGAGGAAAGAAAAAAAAAAAAGGGGGGGGGGGGGCTAATTCCAGAAAGTCTTGATCTTCACTGAAATTTGAATTTTCCACAGTGTGTATTACAGCATCTTGGACAAACTTCATCACCAGACTCAGTTTTGCTGTATTTTTAGGTATACACATTTTCAGTAGACCGCCTCAGAAAAATGAGATTTTGGAGGGTGTGCCTTGTGTCTGATTAGTGAAGGAGGCTGTTGTCTGTAGACTTGTGGCCTCACTTGCTAAAGAGTTTGTATGGTGGAAGCAGGAGAAGATTGCAAGAAGAGAAGGAATTCATTGCATAGCAAAGGCAGGACTCCAGGGTCATTTGGAGCTTGGTGGTGTACAGCGATTATTCTGCTGAAGACTCAGAAAGTTACACTTTTAAAATTGCTGTAGATGACATGCTGGATGAATTGATGACTCCCAGGGTACTGGGAGCAGCACTTTGTGAATGCATGGAAGTTTCTGTTCATGGGCTAAGCCGCAAACAAGAAAAAAGTATATGGCCAAAAAAATGTTGACCTAAAACAGACTGTTTGATCCTATTTTATTCTTTTAAGTTAGAACTAAAGTTAGAAATGAAATGGTATTTTCCTGTTTCAGAAACGTGAGTGTTAGGTTTTGAAAATATCAAAATAAAATCTGTGGATTTTTGATGTACTTTCTTCAGAAAGTCAGAATTCATGAAAACATAAATTGTGACTCAGTTGTGTGTTGATGGCAAGAAGAGAAACCTTTTCTGGTTTTTGATGTCTTCTTCACATAGCACCATGTGAAAATTTCTTGCTCAGGTGCGTGTCCGAGCCCTGCAATCACTTTCAAGCAGTAGGAAGCGATTCTGAGTGAATGCAATTCCCTGGAGCCTGGCATTCCAGAAGCCCAGAGTATAAAATACTTGTAACGTCTAGCAATCTGTAGGTTTCCCACTCCTGCATTTCCCCATGATTGTCTCGCCAGCCCAATTAAATTCTTTTCCCATCTTGCTCTTTCCAAAAGCTATAAACAATTAGAGTTTATACAGGATAAAATAAATTAAAAGCAATTTACAGTCAAACTTTTTTGGCCTTTCTGTGGCATTTGGAAGAAGGGGAGGTCTCTCTCTGCTTGTCTGAGATAACAGATCCAGCTGCAAAAAACAGTGTGGCTTGCATCTTCCTTTGGCCATGATACAGTTGAATGTTCCAGATAAGTGTGAAAAATGCCTAGAACTCTGATGCAGACTGGTGCATCTCTGGTGTTTTTTTGGGTACTGTCAGAAGCAGAGACAGAAAGTTGTACGACCCACTTCTATGAAAGGTTTATTGGCATGTGACTCCGGGACGTCCACCACAAGCACAATTCACTTGGCTGCTGCACTTTTCTCACTGACAAGCTGGAAAGGGTCAGACTCTTGGAAAGATGCCTGGTTAGAAGAGTAACAAGATGCTCCATACGGAGCCAGCTTTGTGAACTCTACTCTCTTTACATAGTAAGTTCTGTCCCAACAGGCAGGGGAACTAGTTCCCAGGAAAGGCATTTTAAGTTCAGCTGAAAGTGGTATTGATAAGGAATAGGGGTACATTTATTGGAATATGTTTGGTATCCCATCAAGACCATTTGCAAACAGTCTTTTGAATCGGTTTCCTGCCAACTGTGTTGTTAGAAAGGGACAGTTTGCTGAGATGTTTCATTTCAAATGACTAAAGAAACACTTTCCCTAAATATTGATATACTGAAATTCATAGGTGTTGGATTCCTTGTGTTACTGAAGGAAACAGTGGAAGCATTGCTTGAGAAGATAACTCACTGTGAGAGTCACAGTAAGCCTTTTCTTTCTTTCCCTGGCAGGTTCCAATCCATCAAAATCTTAAAGAGCTCCTTGCCATCCGGACGGAGCTTCAGAAGAAGGTTGAAGATTTGCAGCGGGAAGCTGCTACACGATCTATTTCTTCCTCCTCTGACAGAGGTTCATCTCCTTCCCATTCAGCCACGCCGGTGCACACCTCTGTGTGATGTGTAACAAAAGCCATGTGAAAAAAATTTGTCAGGTAATACGGAGAGGAGGGTGAAACGCTTTTCCCATCACAAAAAGATTGTGAGTGACTTGTAATTGCTATGATCTACATGCCTTACTCTGTGTCTGATATTATCATGATGAGGCCAAAAAGAGCTTCAATAGATGTGATGTATTTTCTTGTTGGCAGTTCCCACATGTGTTTTGACATCTCTAGATAAATCACCAATTGTGAAATTAAACTTTGTTTTGAGCAACTAACAATTTAACCATCCTAAAAAGGAATCCATCTGCCAAGCAGACAGAAAAATGCCTGTCACGCTGCCTAGGGTACCATGCCTGGTTGGGAGAATCAGATGAAATGCCACATGATGCTTACACAGAACATTTTTCTGAATGGGAGCTCCTTATTTCACTCAGTAATATATATATATATTTTTTTTTTGCTAGAGCAATTTATTTTTTTTAGGTAATTAATGCACTTGGAAATTGATTTTAAATTAAATGTTTTCCGGTGTAGTCGGTTTTACATTTCCACTAAATATGCCATTAAAGGTGGATGAAGTTAAGCTGGATTTATCAAGTACACCACACTGACTTGTATGATGTAATATATTTGGTAAAGCGTGTATTTTAGGTTTTTTAATGCCTTTTGTACAAGTTGAAATAAAGTCTTTTGACTGTTTAGCTTATTGTTCAGTTTCAGCCTCCTGAGTGAGGGGTAAACTTAACTCATGTCAAGGTCTTGTACAAAGTAAAAGTTTGTTTTCTAGCAAATGGTAATATTTGGGGTTGGAATGACACCCAGCTGTGTAAATTGTATAGTCTGTATAGCTCCACATTTTGTTAAGCGTGTTTTGTTTTAAAGTGTACACACAAAATGCAAAGCTGTGTCCATTTATACACATGTGTATGTGATGATGTTAAACATATGCATACTCCCGTGGTTTTAAGCTGTAAGTTCAGAAAATGGATCCTGCCTGTCCAAACTCTTTTGAAGACCTTAACTTGTAATGACTTTGTTTGACAAAGTTTTTAAATAATATGATCTTAATTGGTTTTCTTGAAATAAAGTCTCTTGGCTTTTTGTTTTTTAAATTGCTGCTAGCATTTTTTTCTGTAATTGAATATTTTAACTGTGTTTTTTTATAAAATATACATTCCCAACTTTCTTTCATCTCCCCTCCCCGCCCCCCAAAATATTCATATCGGAGAGATTTAATTACTGGAACATCCAACCTTTTAAAAAATTATTCAGCGGCCGTCTTGGAAGGCCCAGAAATGGTACATGCTGAAAATTTTCCCTGGATTGTTTTCCTTGCTATGTTTCATGAGAATCTGGTTCTTAGGGCAGTCAGACACCGCAGCTCTGCTTTTTGACTCGTGCTTGTATTGCTCCAAGTTCTGCTGGTGGGAATTAAGCCCCATTCTTAAGAGCCAATTGATTCTATATGCTGACTATGGTTTTTACTGTGTGTGAGTATTCATTTATTACTGCGCATTTGTTCTTAATATGCGATGGCGCTTTTCTGTTTCTCTGCATTCAGATGTGTAGCATATAGTTAATGAGTAAGGTGAGCTGCTGAGCACTTTTGCAACTTCACCTGGAAAGGCTAATGTGCTGTATCCAGTCTTAAAGTTTACTGTGCAGTGCAGGGTATTTCAACATGTCCTCTTTATTACAGTGAATGCTTTTTATAATAGATACTCACCTACAAGAACAAAGTTCAGGAAGGCTTGCAATTTCGCATCTCTTAAGCAACCTCAGGCTATATGAAAGATGTTCTCCTGTAGAAATGGTTCTGCTGGACAGTATGCCAGCAGTGAATTTTACATTGCCAAAATATATTGAGCTGGTATCAAATTAAACTCTTCCATACTTGGGATATCCTTGACATTTTAACTGTATATTAAAGTAAAGCACATTATCTCTAAAATGCAGTGCTAAAGAGAATCTTTTGAAGTTTTTCTCTTTATTGGTGCTAATAATCACAACATTTCCTCTATAATTATTGTAAAAGTGGTGACTGGATTAGCTTGGGCATTCTGAGATATTCCTAGAGCTAAAATCGGAGAATTTGGGTTTGCGTAGAAGAATACCAGTTATTTCAGCTGACTGGCTGTTTATCCACAAGTTTCAACATAGCTCAGTGAGTCTGATCTGCAGGGAGAGCACTGGGGGAGGGGTCCTGCTGTTACATGGGTGAGCACAACGCATGTTTTCGTATTTACCTAGCATGGAAATTTTCAAAGGTATTGTATAGCTTGTATATGCTAGTTAATGCGTAGTTTTATATTGAAGAGGTGACTGTCTTTGTAGCCAGTCTGCTTCCTGATAATCAGATTTTTTCCTATTGATTTAACAACTAATTTTGTCATTATTTTTTAATAAGGCAGTATTGAACTGGTTGAGGAAAGAGCAGAACCCTGTTCCCTGTCTGATGCACCTTGGACAGAACTATTAACTTCCAGTTCAAAAGCTGAATCTTGTTTTGCTTTTGTTTTTGTTTTTGACTCTGCTGAGTATAAAGGGAATGTGCAAAGACAGCAAGCAGTTAAATTTGACCTGTAGGATTTTCCTATTACCAATGGCATGTGAGAGGGGGAAGAACCTGAATCCAGTGTCCCAGAATGGGATGAAGGCTTGGTAACCAACTGAAACATTTTTTGCTTGTAAATTAAGTGAATCATCAGCATCAGACACTCTGCCGGTTTAGTCCTGCTTCAGAGCTGAATTACACTTTTTCCTCCTTTGTAGATAAAAGCAATTTTTTTGTCGTTTCATTAAAATGCAAGAAGGCTTTTCAAGCTGGTAAACACTCCTGTCTGCCTGGTTTTGTTCACTGCATAGGCAGCCTCCCTCTTAAGGAGTTAAAGCTTTAAACAAGAAGTGTTTGATTTTTCTTATTTTCTGAGAAAAGCTGTACTAATTCATATGGTGTATGCAGTAACACCAAAGACGGCTGGTTCTCTAAAAGCTGGAAATAAAGAATCAACAGCTCCTGTTCATGCGCATTGAGCCCCACGGCAGAGGACAAAGTAAAATGGGCAATTTAGAGTATTCCCCAGGTGAAGCATTTATGGTAAAAAGCAAAAAGGAATGTCCATTTGCTGAGAGATCACATCTGCTGAACTAAGTGCGTATCATATTAGAGATCTTTTGACTGCCAGATCTTGTGCAGCTGGGAAGAAAGAATTTTATTTCTACAAGAAATATAAGTCAGAAGTAGCTATTTGTTTCAAATACAAACCACCTTTTTTGACTGTGAGACTAAGCGCTGCATCATTATACAAAGGTCAAAAGCTTAGTTTGCATTGCATGGGAGATTCATCTACTGGACGTGAAAAATCCAAGCAGGAAACCTAGGGCAGCAAAAAGGACCAAAAACCAGCCGTCCCAAAAACCAGGGACATAGGGCACTACCTACAGTTTAGTTCCTGGGTGACCTGAGGAGAGCGTGTGTGTGCGTGCACGCGTGCGCACGCGCAAATACTTGATTTTTACTATTAAAGTCTTCATAATGATACTTGTTTTCTCACAAAGTCCAGTTAGTTTTGTTTTTTTAAATGAAGTCTGTAGTGTGCTTATAGAAGAGGTGATGTACAGTAAGCACATAGCCCACCATTTGCAGTTTACTTCCAACATGAAAAAACCCACAAAAAATCAAGTCTTAAATGTCTTATAAGTCAACTTGTTTTATTCAGTGTTTTCCAGTGGTAGTCAAATTCTGATTGTTACCCCCATGATCCTTACATGCACATTAGCAAAATGAATCTTATTTTCTTACAGCGTAACATTCAGCCTTCATTTGGTATAGATAGCTTCTGCATCAGGAAACAGTATGCCTTGCTTTTAAGTAAGGACTTGACTCAAACGACAGGATTCTCTAATTTCACAATTCTGTTGTTTCTGAGCTTCATTTGTTCCTGAACCTCCTTTGTTGCAGAAGCAGATTTTTAAAGCCGAAGCCTGTCGACTCATCTTACTTTTTCAGAATTTGAAATGGTATTATGGACTAATTCCACTTTTACCACAACAAATGAGTAGTTAAGAATGACAATATAGCACTTGTAAGGGTTCATTAGTGGGGTTGCATGAAAATGACTGAGTTTATAGTGCCAAAAAAATCTGAAATTCATGTCAGAGTATTCTCAACTGAAGAATCTAAAACGAAGAAAGTACTACAGTATTGCCAAATCTCAAATGAAGAAACTACTACAGTATTGCCAAAGGAAAATGCAAGTAATTGATAGAATAAACAACAGGAAAAGAGCTAGTTCAATTCTTTCAGTTAGCTGCTTTTCTGTAATTGAGAAACCTTTTCCGAATCATTTTATTAAAAATAGCTTTAATCAAGCTGAAGTGAGGTGTAATAAGAAAAAGAGCTCACAGCACAGGTAGTACATAAACTCTCAGGACAGCTGTATATGTAGGTTTTGTACTCATGGAAAAAAAAAATCCCAGTTTTCCGGTGGTTTATTGGCCTTTTTTTATAAAGGATAATAATGTTCATACCACATATACAAAACCTAAGTGCAGGATTTTTAAAAATTCGATATCCAGATTTAAAGAGAATAGATACTAATTAAATTAAAGTAGTTAGAGAGGTCGGTGCTGGGTCAGTTGTTTGAGAACTTGGATCACTACTAGCAAAATACAGAGGAATCCTCTCAGTTGCTATAATGCCTAAAATATAGATGATGTATAAATTCCCTATTTATCAGAGACTGGTCTGACAGTTCTGATGGAGAAGGAGACAGACTGCAATAAAAAGCAATTTGAGCCTTTACTGACATTTAGCACATTAAGACTTTGACTTTTGTCCAGTTTTGAAGAGAAGACCAAGTTTAATTTCTTTACTGCAGTATTTGTCAATATTTTTCTATTTGAAATCCTAGAGAAAGAAATCTTGAATTGTTACTGTAAATTTTTGAAAAAGTGCTGCCTTTCACTGTGCATTTATGGTTTTCCACATACCTAGAAATTATACTAAGGCATAATATTCACCAAAGTCGTAGAAAAGGCCCTGGGGAAAGGAGCAACTTCTGAGTTCTAAAAGCTGGGTGTTTTTTTCAGTGAAACAGCTTTTTTTTTATTTATTTCTTTTTACTGCAGTAGTTGTGAATTAGACACGTGTTTCTCCTATGTTCTAGTGTAAGAGTTTCCCGAAGGAGGGGTAGGTGCTATATGCTTTAAGCAATGCTGGACACTCCATTGCACTGTCCACTAGACAAACAGGGAGGGCACGGTAATAGAAATGCAATAAAACCGATGATCTGCATCTACAGAAAATACGGTCATTGGCAAAAGGAGAAGTGGAATTACGAGCACTTGATCTAAGCTAGGAAAACGGCTCCTAGTGATCATCAGTGCCATGTCATAACACTTCATCTACAGTAACTTCCTAAAAACATTTTTCGTGCTACAGCTTTCAAATGTGTTTGGCTAACAAAAGAGAACAGGCGACGGTGCTTGGCAGTGGAGATGATACACAAACTGAGCTGCGTGGCTTTGCCAGCATCTGCGCTCCTGCACGTGATGATCCCAATCCCGCAGACCACGCTTCCTCCGTGAAAACCCTTCTCTGGGAGTAAGCAAACACAGAGTGCATCCCATCTCTATCGCCTCTGCTTCCACTCTCTGAGCAGCCAACAATTAAATATTGTTGTTTTCTAATCCAAACACATTCATAAAACAAAGCAGCAATAGTTGTAGGAGTATTGTTGTAGCCTAAGTGTTCTGAGTACACGTGAGGCACCGTGTATCCCTAGAACTTGTCTCCCTTATAAAACACTGTAGCTGTTCTGCTAGAGCTAATGTAAGGCTTTAAAATGCAAGTGTTAAAAAGAGCGTAAAGAATTGTGCAGCTATTGCAAAATACTTAACCATGTTACTAGGCAATTTCCTTTCAAATGGAGCTGTTAGGCAGCAATGCTCCTAGGCTGATTCACCTCCTGGCAAGGCCTTCTGTAAGTCGTGTCTACCTGAAAGCTGTGGATTTGTACATCAAACTGAAAGGC